TTGATAATAAAATGATTTTAAAAATTGATGTATGCGTTATAGAAGCTGTAAGAGCCCCCAATAAAAAGATTTTTTTTAAATGTCAAAACAACCATTTTGACATCCTCAAAGGATTAAAATTACATCCTTTCAAGCATTCTTTGAGTCTTGAAAAAAGAAGCCTGCAGGGGCAGGATCGTGGCTCTGGACAGATGGGGTAAACCTTACCAATGAGAGTCTCCTAGGACAAAAAAGAGGAGCTGATACCAAGGTTTCGAGGAAACCTTGAAATGTTTTGGAAGGAAATGTTTTGGAAATGATGATGGCAACCTATGTACAAACGCGCTCCATACCATTGATGTATGGATTGTTTTAAGAGCTGTACGAGCCCCCAATAAAATGACTTATTTTAAGGAAGAAAAGAAATTCTCCCAGGACAGGCCGTGCTAGCCTCCGAGCTTGAGCAGCTTCATTGCGGTGATGGAGAAAACAATTTCTTGGCACAGTTTTCCTGGCATTTTTCTCACGACTACAGTCTTCAATTGTCTTCCAACTTCATCACAATTAGCCTCCAGGATCATCCCCTATCTTTTATGAAAACCCATCCAGATCACCCCAGTGGGATCCCCTAACCAGTGATCACGACCCTCTGAGCGGACTGATGTGCTCCACTAAGAAGAAGGTGCCTTGCTGAGTCTCTTTCTGCAGCCGCCCGCTGACTGCAGAGACACGCTTAAGCACGCTTCATTTGGAACAAACCCATGTACATAAGAACGGGAGCCCTTGTACCAATCCCTTTTTTACTTACTCTCGTAGCTTCAAGGTTTCCCGGCCCTGGCAGAGTAAGGATGACGAAGGACCGCTGGAAGGGGTACAGAGGTTTTCCTACTTCATCTTGCAGCAATAGTCGAGTGGTCTTTCTGCCTCGTCAGCCATCCAGCTCTTTCTGCCTGCAGTTCCCAGGACCTGGCGCCAAAGACCCTCATGGAAATACTTAAAACAGCTGGCTGTCAAAGCAGATGTTGAGTTTTCTTGATCTCACCATCATGTCTCGGTCTCTGGGGCTTGGGACATCTTTCTGTGGGTGGTCTTGGCAGTTTACTTTGTTTCTATTGTTTTTAGTTTTGTTCTATTTTTCATTGTGCCTAAGAAAAACTGTAGAGTAACTGTTCTATTTTAATTTTATTTAAGCAAACACTTTTCCCCAAGGAATATTTTAGGATGTTGATGTCATTGTCTATGAAATGTGCATCATATACATTTCTCAACAAAAGGTGCTTAATTGAGGTGAAACCAACTTGTTTATACTTTTATTCAATATAGAAGAGGGTTCTTTTTACTTTGTGATCTGCAGCCCACCTGCATAAGAACAACCTGGGTTCTTATGTAAACCATGCAAAATCTATGACTTCGCCTCTTGGGTGGGGTGGGGGGGGGGCGGGCAACTGCCACAGCTATCCGCTCCACTGTTGCCCTAGTGTTGGATTCTGGCTCATGATGACCCCACTTGGGTCACAGTGGAACCGTCTCCGCCTTGGGGTTTCCAATAGCTGATGCTTTGGGAAGTAGGTCACCAGACTTTTCTTCCAGGGCTCCTCTGGGTGGACCCCAACCTCCAGCCCTTCGGGTAGCAGCCGAGCTCATTGACTGTCCACATGACGGAGGGGCTCCCACCACCCCCAAACCAAACCCACTGCCCCCCAGTCCATTCCAACTCACAGTGCCTCACCACCTCACTACCAGGGAGTCAGTCCGGACTCTTAGCCGCCCCTCAGTTAACCGCTGGCAGCGGTTCTCAACCTGTGGGTCGCAACCCCTTTGGAAGTCGAATGACTCTTTCACAGGGGTCACCCGATTCATAACAGTAGCAAAATGACAGTGATGAAGTAGCAACGAAAATAATCTTATGGTTGGGGGGTCACCACCATATGAGGAACTGTGTGAAAGGGTCGCGGCATCAGGAAGGTTGAGAACCACTGCTCTAGGGAAAGACTCATTCCTCCATATTTACAGTCCCGGAAATCTTACACAATGACAAATCTCAAGAAGCATCAGACTGAGACCTTCTGAACGACTGTCCGTTTTCCCACGCTGCCCACTCTGCCCAGGGGACCCGCGCAGAAATGGAGAACAAAGTCACGCGAAGAAGTCTTTATACATCTTTGTTTTAATAGCCACCATAACACTGTTTTACCTCTTTTTACCGACCCTGTCCACGCCAGGTATGCGGACCTTCAATGCATTGCTGTAGCAGCATATAGAATATCTATCATACATGTATACACACAGCCACACCCCCTACACGCACAGACCAGGCTTCTCACCGGCTGCGAAACCCAAGCCCCGGCTAGCTTCCCGCGAAGATGTCAGTGGGCTTGTGCTGGCCGTCAAGCCCCTGCTCCCCACAGGGACGCTGGGATGGCAGGAGGGGCAGCATGTCTGCAGGGTCCTCGGTACAGGCATCAGAAGGAGGAGGACTGCGAGGCGCGGGGCGTAGCATAAAATGGCTTTGAAGTGACTGCGTCCTTGGCGTGTTTTCTGGGCGCTCAGGTACTGCGGTGCTGACTGAGCCCATCCCGAGTGAGACGCAGGGCGGGTCCAGGTCAGGTGTGGGGTGCCACCGGGAGGGCTTTGGCGACCCTAGCCCATCAGCGTTTTCAAACCACTGGAGGAACTCCAGGGCTGGGACACGGGGCCCATGCTCCCCAGCGGAGCGTTTGAGGATACGTGTGTGCTGAGACGACAGACTTGCAGTGTGCTGTAGCTCATTCCAAAATGCCACCAAAGCTGGCGGGCGGCAGCGTCCTGCATGCAAACTACGCTGGGTCTGGCTTCGCACTGGGCCAGGGGGCTTGGCTGATGGGATTCCTGAAGGGCAGGCAAGTCTCCCGCCTCACCAAGACACCCCAGGATTTCTTCTGGACCCTTGCCAGATCTGCAGGCGTGGACCCAGACCTTCCTCAGGAGCTAGGCAGCTGCACAAAGCGGGGGCAGGCCCATCCTTCCTGCTTTTTTAAGGACCTTCGCTTCCTGCGGGGCTCCTGGAAGGCAAGGGTCATAAGCCTGGAGTGCCGGGCAGCGCCCGCTGGGATTTCACCTAGAGGCGGAAAAAGAGAGGAGGTAAGGATGCAGTCAGGATGCTGCTAGGCACTGCTGAGGGACACCTGGGTGCCCTCAAGGAGCCAGGAGCTTGGGGAGAGCCTGCTACGAGGATGAACTCCAGGGAGCGGCTGTGGTCTGGAGAGTCTGCTGGCGCCCCGGAGGAGGGGATGAGCCTCCCGGCTGGTGACGCCCCTGCTCCAAACCACCGCAGACCAGAGGATGTGCATCCACCGCTGCCTCACCTGGGCCCTGTCCACTCTTGGTCCACTTGGAAGCAAAACAATGGCCTTTGTCACCCCCCAGGAAAAGAAGTGCTTAGCACAAAACATGCACAGGTGAGGCACGTCTGTTGTGGTACAGAGAGGGCGTTTTGCAAGGACCTCCATCCACCTGTGAGGCTTATATCCAACTTTACCGCCCTGAGGCCAGGGAGGGGTCACAGCACGCAGGGCTCAGAGAGCATCTAGGTCTAGGCCCACGACTTACAGGTGGGGGGCAGCGGACTCACAGAGGTCAAGGGGCCAGCCAAAGCCACGCAGCCTGTTAGTGTCCCGCTAGGGCTGGAACCCGGGCCTCAGGCCCTTTCCCTGGTGGCGGGAAAGTAGGGAGGAAGCTGCCCGGCTGGGACTTGAGGCTGTTGGGTTACCTTTGCTGGGGCAGGAATAAGGCTTTACAGAAGAAATCTTGTAAGTGTTCTTCTGAAGAGGCTCAGGAAAGAAAGGAATCATCAGAGAAAAACAAAAGGGAATTAGCCAAAAGAAAAAAAAAAGGGCAGCTTTAAATCGTGGCCCAACTAGTTTTCTCGCTGTGGGTATCAATGATCTCCCAGGTCATAATCTATAACATTTATAATCGATAAACTTAGAATCTAGGAACATATCTAGGGCCCATCTCAACTGCTGACGGCACAGCTTGGAGCCCACGGTAAACGCGGTCATGTCTGATATTGAAATTATTTCATTCGCCTCAAGTTTTTCTTTAGAAGAATTGCTCAGAAATAGCGAAGACATTTTTTCAAATAAGTCAATGTAGGGGGGGCAATCTGTCCTACTTATGAAATCTTCCCCCTAGAGCATCCATTTTTAGTGTTGCTTTTTTGGTCTGCGTGTTTGTTTGTTTCAATCAAAACTTCCTGATCGAGAAGGACCCCCCCCCCCCCAGGGCTCTCTTAGCTGGCATTTCTTAAGGAAAAAAGTTGGCAACAAACTCGAAACTGTTGGTTCCACTCAATAGTGCACACAGAAATCAATGTATTTGGTGGCACCTTGCTCTTTACAAGGGTCAGGGGTCACTAGAACCCTTAAGGGGCACAGGCATCCTTTCCTGGGAGGCAGTTGGAAGGCTAAACTCCTCTCCATCCTCCCACCTCAAGTGTGAACTGCGCTGCGTTTCTCCCACCTCCCAACTTGGCAGAAAGAAGGAGACGGTGGAACGGAAAGAAGCGGAGATGGCAATGTGGGAACAGACAGAAATGTCGGGGTCGGGGCGCTGACTGGGAGGAGGGGGCGAAACTGGAAGGATGTCTATTGCGGGCGGACCTGCGCTCCTAGAAATGACCAGCATTGGGGAGAGGTCAGAGCCCACGCAGGACCCGCTGCAGCTCTGACCGTGGAGGGTGAGGGGCTGCGTGGCTCCGAGCTTCTGACCAGGCAGCCGTGCCTTACCTCCAAGTTTGTCCTGGCCTTCCGCAGCACATCATGTGTCCTGGTCACTGAAATAACAGAGGGGCCGAACACAGCACAGATTACCAGCTGGCCCCCACTTGTGTCAGCAGCACTGTCCCTGCCCCTCCCTGCCCTTGACTTCCACCCTTGCTGAGGGCAAGGGGGTTCAGGCTCCTCCCTCCAGGCATCTCCTAGCTTCTCTGGCTT